TAATGTTAGTTGTTCAGCCTTCAAAAATAACACCCCCACCAAAAAAAAGCTTTTTACTTTTTTTCTCCTAAAAAATTATCTCCCACTAATATTGGCTAAATCTAACCAACCAAGTGTATTACCTATAGTTTTCAAATGTATCTGGATTTTTTAAAATGGTAAATCAATTCGTGATTTTTAAAAATTGGCAGGGCACAGTGGTTCATGCCTGTAATCCTACTGCTTTAAGAAGCCAAGGTGAGAGGATCACTTGAAGCCAGGAGTTTGAGACCAACCTTGGCAACAAAGGGAGAGCCCATCTCAAGAAAAAAAATTTAAAAATTAGTCTGGTGTGGTAGCAACTACTTGGGAATCCCAGCTACTAGAAAGGCTGAGGCAGGAGGATCACTTGAGCCCAGGAGTTTGAGGCTCCAATGAACCATGATTGCACCACTGTACCCCAGACTAGGTGATAGACACTCTGTCTCAAAAAAAAAAAAATTAAGATGACAACCTCAGGAGGCTTTTCAAGGTCATCTTTCCTTAGTAAAGAATATCTAAATAAAGATAACAATTTTTTCCTTTCAAATAGAAAAGATTAAAAATGACAATATTTAGAGAGTGTATTTTATAGACATACTTTATGACAATGATTCCAATTAAGTAGTACTGAGTTTCTACAATATGATAGCTTCTTAATCACAATAAGATAAGGTTACTACTATTTAAATAAATAAGGTTACTAATTTAAACTACTGAAATAAAAGTCAGTAGGTTATAATGATTCATAAACTGTAGTTGAAACTTACATCTTAAACTACTGAGAAGGCATTATAAATTATGAACTGCATTACTGTGCTTCAAAGGTAGGTAGTTCTGGGGTCAAACCTCTACTCAGCTATTTCCCAAGGATGGTGATCAGGTTACTAAATATCACTAGATCTCAGCTTCCTAACCAATATATTTGGGCTAAAAATAAGGAACTCATAAGGTTATGAAAACTAAGTAGACAATCCATACAAAGTGTTTCTGTATGGGGTCTAGGTACTCATAACTATTCCTTTAAAAATCCAAGGAGCAGTCTGTGCACAGTGGCTTACACCTGTAATCCTAGAACTTTAGGAGGCAGAGGTGGGAGGGTCACTTGAGGCCAGGAGTTTGAGACCAGCCTGGGCAATATAATGAGACCCACATCTCTACAAAAGAAAAAAAATTAAAATTCAAGGAGCAGAAGACATATTATCCGAGTAGTTTTTCTATAAAGGAAGAACAATGCTTTCCTAACAGTGAGATTGATACACCTGATAAATAATATAGCAATCTAGAGAATTTTAATAAATATTATTTCTAATGGTCCTTTTTGAAAAATACAAAAGTCCTAAATTTAGTTTTAAATAGAGAAAGAATTTTCTACTGACCACAGGAGCAGAAATTGAAATGCTAAGTATTGCAACTTAATAAAATAAAATTTGAAAACTACTTCTTTTTCAAACTATTATTTTTCAAAGGTCAAACAAAATTATGGGAAACCTTCACTTTTAAATAAATGATGGGGCATTTGAAGAAAAGCTTAGAATTCATCCAGAAATGGGGATATTCAGAGACTCCAGTTCTTCACTTCAATGCAGCGGTAATTCTACTTGAGGAACATAATATTTGAAGAGGAAAAACAATCAGAATTAATCAAAACTGTCTATTTAAAATGTGAAAATTTGTTGTCTGAGGATATTTTTATTATCTCTTATTATGTTAATCTCCATGAATCATGTATAAATATAGCCAACTTGAAATAAGTGCCTACCACAAGACCAGGGAAACAATAGATTCCTTTGTTCCAATCCTATTTTACTAATTTGTAGACTGACCTTGAAAAGAAAGAGTAATTTCACCTTTACAAGATGGGGATGAGACCTTAAAAAACATTTTGAGGAAGACGAGTCATTACCCAATGGAAAGTTAAAGACGAAAACTTTGTTCTCTTTATCAACAAATTCATATTGCGTTAAATTGCCTCAATTGAAGAGACAACATCATCACAAAGAGAAGAGCAAGGAGAAGACACAGAAAACTAATTTGAACTCTTTCAATATTTGGATTACTTTCTTATATGAACACTTACAACTACTAAAAGCTGCAACTTAACTGTCCCATAGATACAAGTTATAAAAGCTTGATTCATCCTCTTCCCAGATTACTTGACCCTTTCTTTAGGTAAGTCTGAGTTTGCCATTTAAAACAAGTCTTGCAACATTTTTTAGAAGCAAAGCAAAATGTTCTGTAAATAGATCAACTATGATGCTTAGTAAACATGCCAGAAGCATTTTGAATGAAAACCGTGGGGACATAGGGGCAGTACAAAGTGTTCAAGAAGATACGTTAAAAAAAAAAAGAACACTAAAGTCATAAATCATGTGCTTCTGTATGAGAGTCACCTCAAGCAAATAAACATAAAATGTGTGGGCACAGTGTAAGTTGCCATGTAATGTGAAGACGGAACTGGTAGCAGCTGCAAAGGAATGATTTCCATTGCAGGAGTAACTGTGAGCACAGGCAAAAATGTACTGTCAAGCCACTTTCTTTTCCCTCACATAAAATGTCTGCAAAGCAAATTCCTCTCACCCTATATAACCTCCTTTAGTCTAGTCATTATTGAGTAATTCCAAGAGGTGCAACCTGAAAAAATATCATTATGGAATAAAATAATTTCAAAGCTGAAAAGGGTTTCCAAATTTCTCTGATGTAGTAGTTCTTACCCTCTTTGGGGTCACAGATTTCTCGGAGAAGTGATATAAGCTACACACTCTCATCAGAAATGAACATAAGGCATATTAAGGCAGCACAATTCTGAGCTTCATGTGTAAGCATTTGAAGTTTATCAGTCCTAGATTAAGAATTATTGATCACGTCCATGTTCCTTATTTGAAAAATCAGGAAATTGGATGCCAGACAGACTCAGTGATTTGTCCAAGGCCACACCCAGGCAATAGTGGAGCTGGTATTAAAACAACCCAGTATTCCTGACTTCCATCAACATGTTCTGCCCTATCATTCTTTAGAGAAAGGCTGTAATTATCTACATCCATAAATCTCAACAATCACTCATGTTGCTGTTAGAATAAATGAAATTAATGTTAGGATAGAAACACTCTACTTCTTTTCAGACATTAAAAGACACACAGTAAGCAATATGGCCTAAGCAGTCTTGATACTTCTACATAAATAACTTTTATGTAGGTGCTAACTGGAAACATTAGGGTTCTTATGCCCCATCTCCATAAGATGAGATTCAGTATTTCTGCAGTGATGCCCTTAGAGTTGAACCTTAAATAAGTCCCTAAGAGACTGTGATCTGTTGGTTCTAAAGTAGTGACCTACTTTAAATAAATTTTGAAGATTTGTATTAATCTGGCATCCTTATAAATCTATACAACACAAGTGATAACTAGTCATAATAGGAATTGAGATGAAAAAAGAGTCAAGACATTTTGGTTTCTAAACTTTGACAGAAGAGACCATCTAGAGCAACGGTTCTTAAACCTCCTTTCACAAATTCATTAAAAATATAGATATTTGCACCCCTTCCTCAGACTTATCAAAGCAGTTTCTCAGTGTGGGCCCAGGCACCTCTCATTTTAATCAGCATAACAGGTAATAGTGATGCTCACTGAAGTGGGGCACATCATTTCTTCTTCACTCATCCAGCAAGCATTTAATGAAGACCTTCCACTAATATGCACAAAATTTAGATTTTAGACACATACTGTCCTTTTAGTATTGTTTCTTCTATTACAAACTAACAAGCAACTCAAGGAAAAAAACATGATCAGTTTTTAAGCAGTATGATTTTAAAAATACTCCCCTTTCACCCTCATCCCTATACACATATCTATCGGGGTATACAGCAGGCAACTCTTGCATGACTTTGCTAATAGTTCTCTCAAGTAAGACATATTGATACATCTGCTGCTGCTACATGGAAGAATGCTTTTAAACATGAACTCTCTGAGTCCTAAGGACTTTGTATAAATTGTGTCTGTTTGTTTCTAATTCTGTATTGAGGCTAAGCTAGCAAGACTTCAACTGTGGCCTTAAACTTCTGTTTTGAAGTTCTATTATAAACCCCCAAAAAACATATACACCAGGAAATATATATCAAGAGGAGGGAATATAGAGCCCCTTCTACTCCTTATCCTTTTATCTCAACAAATAAACTTTTCGTCCTTTTCACCATATCACAACCCTCATTTCTTACCTATTCTCAAATCACTTCCATTATCTAGTCAGTATTTAAATAACCAGGAAATTTAAAAATTGCTTCTCAAACTTTGTTCATCCTGAAATCATACATGGTTCAAACAAGCATGTAAGATCTCCTCTAGATAGTGAGGGTTGGGAATGATGCATTCCAGATGTGTTATGCCCCCTCTGTGTCTTGATCTTGAGAGAAAGCATCTGGAGAAGCATAGCATGGAGCTGGCAGCGACTTAGGGGCAGCAATGCCAATGGCTTTTGCTGAGGGAAGAGTTCAATGTGGCAAACCAGGGAGATGAGTCCCTTCAGCATTTGGGCAATGAATTACCTCACTATGTTCTGTGAAGGAGCAAACACCCATTGACATGTGACAAGGTCTTCATGCTGATAGAAAGGGGGAATAGCTACTTCAGATCTTCTTTCATTAGGCTTTTTAGAAAAGAGTAGGAAGGCATGAGAAGGGGAAATAGAACACACTGGGGAATCCACTGGAGAGATTATGGGGAACAAGCCGGGAAAAGCCCATCAGCACACAGTGAACTATCCGAGGTCCTTCACTGCCTATGAAGGAGAAGGAGCCCAGCAGTCACTGCAGTGGTGTGCATGACCTAAATATCTCCCTACCTGTTTTCTATGAACCCTTTATAGTAACCCAGTGATTCCTTTCCTCGTCTTAGGAAGACAGTACTTTGGGGCAAGAAAAATCTAAATCTTTGATCAACAAGCACAGGAAAAACAGCCACATTCACTGTAAAGCATTCCTTACTTACCAATTTAGTGACGTCTTTTACATTATTAGTCACACGATTCCTGCAGACCCCTTCAGTTTTGACGAAAGGATTAAATAGGAACAGTTGAAGATAAATGCAAGTGAGAATCCAAGTCTAAATGAAAACAGAAAAATTGCTTGGTGATCATCAGTTAAAATCTGTAACCATTAAAACTTTTAACATCTAATGCCTTGATGCACAAAAGGCCAATCTTAATATATGTCTTTGATATGTATATTAAAGTTATTGGCTAAAATGCAATGAAATGCTATGCATTCAAGCTATGCTCACCAAAGTTTTAAAAAGCTTTTGGTAAATTCCGTTCTGAATTATTCTCTCAATGACAATATTGTGAACCTTTGTCAAAAACTTTCTACAACCAGTTTCCCATGGCAATTAGGAATAAACTTGTAGCAGCATGTTAAAGACTGAGCACTTAGGGTGTCTTCTAAAACTAGAGAATGCATAAAATTTATACCACATGGCACCAAAGGAAACCTTCTATTTCTGCCCTAAATGTAGACTGCTTGGCAATTAGCAGCATAATCCCTGAGCACTGCTTTAATCTAATAATCTGCAATATAGTACACTAAATTAAAGTGAGAGAGATGCGTATTTCTAGATCTAAGACAGAATTTCACTTAATTTGTGAGACATCAAAGAATTAATATTTTGAAACACAGCTTTTTAGCCACTTAAAGAAAATAGTTCCTTAGCCAATAGGAAGGCATTCTGAACCCTGGTAGAAAGTAATCTGTCTTCTTTCTCTCTTTCCCTCAAACACACATAACCTACACATCAGCTTGAAAGTAACATTTTCTATCATGTATTATAGTTGTTTTTATGCAGGAATTATTGTTCCTTATTACACTATATTTAAAATTTCAAGAACTTGTGCATCTGATTTATTTTTGTAGTATCTTCATAACACATAATACAGTGCCTTGCACATAAAAATCCCTTAATAAATATTTGCTGGGTGAATCAGTGGTCAAGGTAAAAATATATTCTGATGTTAAATTCAATAACCATTTGTTGAATATATATTATGAGACAGGAACGGTGCCAGTCACTAAGGTAACACAGATGATCAAGATGCCCTTGAAACTCAGAGGCAGGTAAATAAATAACACCCACATCTTGTGATAAACACTTTGGGAACAGAGAGAAGGAAGGAATTAATCAATTAACCTTAAGGGGGAGAACCAGTTGCAGGAAGACAGTGCCAAGAAAAGCCAGAGAGAAAATGTGACTCAGGCCAGATTTAGGAGAACAAGGAGGATTTGCAAGGGCTGACAAAGAAAAGATGAGCATTCCAGGAAAAGTAAACCGTATGACAAACCCATGCAGATATGAAGATATCTTAAAATACGTGAGGATTCTTTTATGAGCTACCACTCTTCTGTAAAATCTTTAAATTGCACAAAAGTCCAGATGCACATGACTAGAAATCTCCCCTATTTACATAGCTAGCCATATTTAAAAGGAACTGGATTATTATTTTCAATTAATAGCTGCATACTAACCAGATATTACACTAGAACAAATGATTATCATTCTGAAATTTCTAAAACTACAATGCTAATTATATGGCTATAGTGGTTTGTATTCAAAATTAAAATCCTTTTATTCCCTTACCACCCTGGTCTATTTTAGCAGTAATCCTACATAATTCTATTTAAGGCTACTTTGAGCACTGTGAGGTCACATGCTTCATAGTATCATCTTTCTTAGACCACAATGAAGACTAAGTTGTATAAATCATTTCTGTTTGAGGATTCCTCTTTTTGGACAGACAACCCCTACATGCAGACTCTCCCCTAACAACACAGTCTTCCTTCACATGTGTAAATACAATTTATTAAACGCAGCTTTCTTTTATATTGTCATTGCTAAGGCATAATTCCCTTGAAATATATTTCTCTAAGGCCCTCTTTTCTGATGTGATTTGGGAACTTTCTCTAAGGATCTCTGTAATGGACCATTCTTACGAAGGACCATAATCATATTCTTGGCTCAAAGAAATGTAACGGCAGAAATTCTGTTACTGGTTTTCACAATGCCTTAAGCCTGGCATTGAATAAACACTAAAGAAACATTTGTTCACTCATTCATCTAACAAGTATTTATTGAGCACCTGATGTATACCAGGCATTGTCCTAGGTGCTAGGCCTACATAATGAAGAAAAAGACAAAAAAAAAATCCTGCCCTTATAAGGCTTAATCAACAAACATAAGTAACCAGGTTATACAGTATATCAAAGGGTGTTGAAAGCTATGGAAAAAAAGATTAGAACAAGGTAAAGGGGATTGTGATTATAATGCCTACTCTGACTTACTGGCAGCAGTGATCTTGGGTTCAGATTGACAGTCATAGTCATGAGTCATAGGAGGCTTTGCCCAGCTAGTACACTAGTAGTACACTAAGTGTACTACTGAGCTTTAAAAAAGGTTAAGTAACGAAAGAGTACATACAGCACCTGCAGAACAGACTCCAAGACCACCTCTAATATCAGAAAGTCACTGAACACTTAGAATATGTTTGGCAATGGCAGGTGATGTTGGGTAGGCAGGACCATTCCTTCTACTTATGCCTTGTTTGTTGAGCAGTTTTTTAGGGATGTGACATGAATTTCTACTCATCTTCTAGAGCAGCTACCCCCACCAGTACCAGTCTCAAAAATAAAGTATTAATACATGTCAGTGCATACTACGTGCTTGTAATAAAACACACATCAGTGCCTGCTACTTAGTAACTTCAGCTGGATTCTCTTAGAGGAAGTATAGATGTACACCTAAAAGTTTCTTGAGTTATTGTTGCAAGAAGGCTTATAGGTAGGGTTGATTCTCCAGGCATCTGAGTCTAGAGAAGAGCCACAAAACTAACCATACTCTTTTCTTTTCAAAGATTGCTTGAAAATTTTAACAGGGTAATAGTGATAAATGTCTCATTGAGAACACAAAATTTCAACGAAGATCGGACACAGCTAAGGCAGTGATCCACACAGACATCTGTGGGAAGAGTACTGCATCCAGAGAGGAGAGCTGGTGCCAAGGTTCTAAGGTGTATTTAAGTATCTGTTATTTAAGACATAGCAAGAGTAAATTAGGGAGCAGTAGAGGGTGATGATGTCAGTGAGACAATAGAGAGGCCAGATTATGTAGGGCATTGGAGCCCACTGCCCAGACATTGACTTTTACTATGAATAAAATAGGATTAATTGCAAGATTTTGAGCAGATGAGGGATATGAACATACTTCAGAATTAAAATTAATAAATTCATTAATTAAATAAGATCAGTCTAATTGCTGTAAGAAAAATAGACTTTAGAGTGACAACAGGTAGAAAATGAAACAGACAAGTTGGGAGGTAGTTGCTGTGATCCAAAAATGGTTAGATTCTGAAGGCTGTATCAGGAGAATTTCCTGACAGAATATGATTTGAGAGAAAGCATCAAAGATGACAATAGGACTTTGGTCTGAACAACTAATTGGAAAGATGGTGTTGCCATCAACTGATATGGGGAAGGCTGGGGGTATAGAAGGTTTGGGGGCATATCAAGAATTAAGTTTTGGCCGGGCCTGGTGGCTCAGGCCTGTAATCCCAGCACTTTGGGAGGCCGAGGCGGGTGGATCACGAGGTCATGAGATCGAGACCATCCTGGTCAAAATGGTGAAACCCCGTCTCTACTAAAGATACAAAAAATTAGCTGGGCATGGTGGTGCGTGCCTATAATCTCAGCTACTCGGGAGGCTGAGGCAGGAGAATTGCCTGAACCCAGGAGGCAGGGGCTGTAGTGAGCCGAGATCGCGCCATTGCTCTCCAGCCTGGGTAACAAGAGCGAAACTCCGTCTCTAAAAAAAAAAAAAAAAAAAAAAAAAAAGAAAGAATTAAGTTTTGAGTATGTTAAGTTTAAGATGTGTTTGAGATATTCCAGTGATTATGTGAGGTCGAGATACTTAAATCTAGACTTAGGAGGGAAGTTTGGGCTGCAGATATAAATATGATAGCCTTCCATATATATATATGGGATGTTAAGCAAAAGAGTGGATGAGATCACCATGAGAGTGTGTAAAAGTATAAAAAAGAACAAAGGACTGAGCATGCTATGGTGCTCTAACCTTAAGGGATCTGACAGAAGAGTTTGAACGCACAAAAGAGTCCAAGAGAGCAAAGCAAAAATATCATGGAAGGAAGTCAGGATTTTTAAAAAGTACTTATAGGAAAATAGTGTTAAACTATATCAAATGCTGGTTATAGGTTTAGTAAGACAAAGACTGAGAACTGACCACTGGTTTGTCAACATGAAGGTCATTGGTGATATTAACAAGACCAGTTTTATTAAAGTGGTATGGGAAAAAGCCAATCTATGGTGGGTTTAAGAAAGCAAGAGATGAGACCAACCAGAAACAGTATGAATAGCTCTTTTGAACAGTTTTCCTTCAAAGGAGAGCAACTGGATAAACAAACACATAAATAAATAAAACCCAGGTGGGGTAGTAGCTAGCAAGAAACTGGGCGTGAAGAAAGTTTTATCTGTAAGAAGGTTAAAATACTAGGATGTGTATATGCCTGTGAGGATGATCCAGTAAGAGGAAGCAATTGGCAATATAGGTCAGAAGAGAGGGAACTGCTTGGGCAACAGCCTTGAGCAGGAAAGAAGGGGTGAGACTTAGTTCTCAAGTAGAAAGTGTGGCTTTATATAGGAGTATAGATAGTTCAATGCTATCAGGCAGGGTGCTGGAACGGGAATGCAGATGCTGGTGGTGTCTTGGGAACAATTCCAGGAATACAGCTAACAGTTATTGAACATTTACTATATACCAAACATCTTGGATATCTAATAACAAAAAAAATTAACTTTCATATATCCTAATTTTAAAGCTGAAGGAGTTGAGGTACAGAGAGGTTTGGTGACTTCTGAGTGGTGAAGTCAGTAAGCCCAGGTCTGTCCAATTCTAACTCCTGTCTTTTTAGCTACCCCACATCGTCCCAGAACTCCCAAAAATCTGTTAGATCATTTGTGAAAACTGTGATGCAATGGCAGATCTCTAAAACTTTAATAATTTTGCAAATATCAAGCATATGGAGACAAGTCTGTTCCATATTGCAT